TATATATATATATATATACGCAATAATTCTCCCTATGTCCAATTTCTGTTCATGTGGTAGTGATGAAATAAAGCATGATTTAATAATCCAGAAGTTAATTATGTAAGCTAATCAGTGATTATGATATCGATATAACACTTGAATATTCATCAGTCGGATTCAAGTGAACGTGATCTTCTAATTTGTTATGTTGGCATAAAAGTTGAACAGTGAAATTCTCATGATGTAAATACCACAAAGTTTATTCATTATTATCAAAAATTGTTAGAAAAAGGGCGCACGTCAACATAAAGATAAGAAGCAACGTGTGGCAAATGCAGATGAAATAGCGGCTTATGAAAGCGAGGATGGTGAGGACGAAGGACGTGAATACGATTATATGAGTGATAGTGGCTCAGAGACTGAGTAAGTTACTTCTGTTTTATTGTGCATTCGTTATTTGATATTATCATTGGTATGGATCACCGAGTATCATTCGTTTTCTGTCTTTATTACATTTCAGTTCTTGGTCATCATGCTTTTCAGCAAGTATTTTATTTTATCGTATTCAGATCTCTCCAAAATAATCAGCAGTTCTTAGAGACACTCGAGTGTTACATTAGTCATGTACAGTTTTTATCATTGAATTTGATGATTTTTATATGAATATCTACGGATTGCATAATATCTGCGGATTGCACAAATCAAGCCAACATTTATTTTCGAATCGGTTCTTTACTCGTACGTATTTGAGATAGTCTGATTTGACAGTTAACGTTCGCTCTTGGCAAAAATGCTTACAAGCGAAAGTTTCGTTGTTAATGCTGTTCCGTCATTATCAACATTTTGAAGTGACCGCTAATTGTATATTTAAAATTTGAATTGAAATAATCGTTTTTATCTGATGAATCTGGTACTGTCGGCAATAAAAATAGTAAAAGTAATTGTAGTAACCACGCTACAAGTAGTAATGATTATAATAGTAATGAAGATAATAGTGAACATTATGGAAGAAAGAACTCATATTTTAAAAAGTGATATTTGGATTGCGATCATAATCCAATATTCAATTGTTTATTGCCCATAAAATAATTATTGTCTATTTGTTCAGTTTTATTCATAAATATCACAATTCGGACAACAACACTGATTATAGGAATTTCATATCGCTAAAGCATAATCTAAGTGTCTTAATAAGGCAAAAATTTTCTAACTTATCATAATAATTCTGATTCTCCATCGCTAATTGAATTTTCTGATCATTACTATTATCAGCTAGCTCAAAATCAAAAATTTCCGTTCTTTCCAGCAAAACACAAAGCAAACGTTTCATGTTATTTTTTGCTACAATTACTCAAATGAGGGTAAATGATATTGCATGCGAGTGCATTTATTATAATTTATATATGTCTAAATGATGCTCTCGATTAGAAAGAAACTTACCGGTGTATATGGCACACTTGTTGAACATGATCAATATGATTATGTGTTTTGTTCATTTCTTTGTTTTTACATTTCGTTATAATTGGTTTTATTTCAAACGGAACCATCAAAAATAAAATGTAAAACTAAGAACAGTTCTAAAATAATACTAAGTATTAATTGTTAAATAAATAACCTAAGAAAAGGTATTAATTGCAACTAATTAGTATAGCTGTATCACAGCAGATGAGATTTTTTGCTAGAAATTTGTCAAATTCATGAATATATGTTTGATTCTATCTTGGCAGTAGTCTTTATATTTTTTCACAGTTCATAGTTTTGGTCTTTGAATTTCCCGTTCACGAAGATTCGTTCGATCTGTAAGATGTGTTGAATCTCCTTGCATGGCTGCGCTGAATGTACCCATTTCACCATTGTTATTATCGTTTCCACTCGAAATGAATTTACTGATTGTACATTGGCCAATATAGTGCCACTCTCCAGTTAAAACTTCGTGGATCATCGCTATGGGACTTCCATGGCTAACAATCAGTATATCACCTAAAAATTTTAACGAAATTCGTAATATGACCAATATTCGTATTATGAGTTATCCAAATTAGATTATGTATAAAAACTGTTCTTAGATGGATGATACACTGGAATGACTTATATTACAAATAGTTCAATTAGAATTAGTTTCATTTGAAGCTAATAAAGGAATCGTTGATTTGTCGTTTTGCATTCCTTAGTTTCTGATATTAGTTTTGTTTGAAATGGAATGTGAACATGCAAAAAGAACAAAGATTGTTTAACATTAGACAGTTCTTTCTTATGAATTGGAAAAAAACAGGTGTTTTCGTTGTTCACGGATTGTGTACAAAGTGTTTTAACCTTCATAGCGGCGTAACATCTCATTGAGAACAATAGTTATGCGTTGTTTGCATTCAATTTCATTGTTTTCTGGTTCTGGTTTGGGCACAATTGTACGATAATTTTCATCAATTAACGGAAAGTCATTCCTGAATTATAACAGATGAATAAAACTTTCATGTTATATGTGAGGATAATTTTCATTCGTTGTGAATTTGTTGAGTTCTATGGGAAGGAACAGCCATTTGATTTTGTAATTAAAAGCAATAGCGAAAAACGAGCATTCAGTCGATAGCTGATTTCTATCGAATGGTATTGTTTTGATCATCATTAATCAATAAGAATGCTTCTACACGTAATATCTTGATGTTTTGTTCTCAGTAGGTAATATGTACTGAAATGCTTTATGTAAAAATATCCAAATTGCGGTAACTTTTTCAAATTCAGTGCAGTCGTTTGATGATTAAGGATGTATATATCAGCAATACTTATACGCACTCACCTCAACTGAGTAGCTGTCAAATAGCCCGGAGGGTTTTGGCATACATTCAACGATTCACAAAGTCCTGGTTCAATGAAAACTCGTGGTTGTTTCGGGTGTACGCTCGAAATGTGACTTGCAGTTTGAACGCATCGCATAAACGGTGAACATAGAATGGTGTCGATGCGTTCACGTGCTAAACGTCTAGCACATTCGATTGCTTGTTGATGACCACGTGAACTGAACTGAATTTACTTATTCAGTTTTATGGCCATCAGTTGAGCATCATCTGTTTGCTTGATTGTTTTCTTGATTTTTGTAAAAATCAAACAAGCAACGTACGTAAGCGGCGGATCATCCCAAGCACCTCGTGGTGCGTTCAGTTTCCATGTTTTGTCAATGTTATCGACACGTTGTCCGTGTCGTACCACCCAAACAGTACGTGTTCCACGTGAGTCGATCGTTGATGCTGTAGGATGAGGAGCCATATTTGTTGTTTGAAAGAGGAATGAAATAGCTTCGGTATAGATAACTGAAATAGCGTATTACAGCGATCAGTTTTCTCATTCTTTTAATGCAGATAGATGTATTGCTGCTGCAGTTCATTGTAAACGCATCTAACAACTATCGAAATGTTTTCCATTGAGAAAAGGGCATGCATAATGTGACATTAGCATATAGTTGTTTTCTATCCTCTACCTTCTGAGACAGGAATAGGTAAACTATATTATTAGATCTTTTAACTCCTCACAGATAGCGAAGAGTTTATTCACTTCTTTGCGCAGTTGGTTTCGTTCAATGAATGCAAAAGTCACAAGACGCGAATTATTTTCGTACAAGATGCGCATGACGTGTCGCTGTTGTATCACGATGATTTTTTCCTGTTTGTGTACATCATAACTAGGCAGTAAATCCAGCGATGCTGACTTGTCTGCGAACAAGATTCCATCAATAAATACTTCTTGAGTGAGCACGACTGAATAAGGAAGGGAATAAAAAGTTTGAATTGCTTAGGCATAAAAGAGATACGCATGTTCAATTCAGTGCAACATTCTGTTGTGAGCAAAATGAGAATGAGAGAGATTATGACGAATGAAGCAATGATGTTGCTGGCGATGATAGTAATAATAATGATAAGATAAGAGTGATTTGTGCAAGTGTCTGTCGAACACGTCTAGTTATTACTTGTCCGTTTTGAAAATTTTCTCTTTTCTTTAATATTGTGCGAGAAACGTGCCATTCATGCAGGACGCAAACAAATGACGACGTTTCGTTAGGCTTTTTGTTCTTTTCAAATAGATGGAAAGAAATTGATAGAATTTTCAATTTTAGTATTGTCATATGCAGTATGCTTATAAAGCTGCAGGATAATATTCGCTAGTTTTCATCTGTGATCACTGTTAAAAAGTAGCAAATTGTTGAGTTGTGTAATAACAAATGCAAACGATAAGCGACTTTCTTCACACGACAAGTATGCGTTGAAGAAGTAGTTTGAAATTGATCGCAGCCAGTGAAACACATTAATTACGCCTACGTATGAGCGAATTGTTAGTTGTGTGTGTGATTGTATTGTATGACGCATGAAGTTTATGTACGATGACATCGAAAAAAGATGGAATGAAGTAAATTAATGTTAAAAGTGAATAGCTCTTGAGTGTAAGAAGGAAAGAATGCTTATGTGCGTAATAGCAATATCAAAAACGAATTGTAAAAAATGGCATTACATAGCACTGTTTGATGAGTAATTAGTGGCTTCCGATGTATTCATTTAATCACATAATTTTGCTGTTAACGTTTTTTGGCGTTCTGTTTAACCATTTTCATTTCATTGTAATGATGCATGTAAAATGATAATGAAAGGCTGATTTGAGTCGCGATGAGATACCGATGGAGCAAAAAGTGGATGAAGCATTGGTTGGAGTTGGTGATGAAGAAGGTTTGAAAAGGATGATCGGAAATGAATTCTCGGATTCAGACTCAGGAGAAGATGATGAAGATAGTAGTGCGTTCGTTGCATACGTTCATTCAGCCGCATTCATTTTCCATTCGATTCCTTCAATTTTCATTTTTCAATTTCATTCAATCCAGTAACTACCAATTGTCCTTGAAAATTTTTTTCACACCGTTCTTTCCAAGTTTTTCGTTTTGCAGCAAAGAAACTTCTGAATACTACTGAAGGAGGTGATGATGAAACGAAGAAACGTTTCAATGATGTCGAAGAAAAAGGCGAGTCCTTCTGCGGCATTTTTCTATTTATGTTTTGGTCATTTTCATTTGTTTTTTTTTTCAGTTTCGATCATTTAAAAAAGAATCTTTCTTCTTTACACGCTTCTTGTTGGTCTTTTTCGTTATTTTTCACAAAGCTGTTGACTTTCAGATTCAACTGATAGCGATTCAGATGATCCTGATAAGGAACCAACATCGGCGTTCCTTTTATCAATGGTTTTATTTTGTTTATATTGTCATTTTCTTGAAATTTTTATTGGTTTTCGTCATTTCAGTATGAAATGATTGTATTAACTATAACCGATGGATTTTTCAATAGCGATAAATTTAATTGTTGTTCTAGAAGAAAACACCAGATGATGGGTCAGCATCGTCGTCAGTGAGCGGTAAAAAGCGTACGTTTGATGAAGCGGGTGGCTCAAACTCGGATACAAAACGTGCTAAACTGGAGAATCAGTTAGCGACTTCTTCCCTTCCTTCTCATATTTCATTTCGATAGATTAACGGTTTGAACAAGAAAAACGAGCGAGTGCAAAATTAACAAGAGCACATATTAGCTGTTGAACATATACGTGTGTTGTTGCTAGTCTCATTCATTCTTGTTCTCACTAGGATCGTTTGTGTTGAAAATTTTTGATATTTAGTACAAATTCTGATGAGTTTGTTAAGAAGTAGTCACAAATTAGTGGCACAGGTATTTAATAAGGTTGTATATTTTATTGGTGATGGTTTATTGAAATGAGGGAACGAGCGCCCAAAGCATATGTACATTCGCGTTCTCTCATAAATCACATTCTCCAACGTACAAATTGGATTTTAAAACTTTTCTGCCATTGTTAATGTGAATATAAACAATGCCCTGCTCCTTCATTTGTATCTCTTTTAAAATGTTACACTGATTTTTGTACGATATTGTTGAACATTTCAAATTTGCTATTTCAGAAACGAAGATAGTAATGATTCTCTGAACGTTACTGGAGCTTCGTCAGTACTTTCGTCAGCATCAACAGCAACATCAAGCGATGGTCTTAATGAGGAAACCGTTCGTCGCTATTTGAGAAGGTAATTATTTTTCTGTTATTAATATCACTGCTCTTGTTTTATGCTCCATAATGTTATTTTATTGAACAACAACAAAAAATAATATATTTGTTACCGTTACTATTAATCGAGAGAAAAATTATATTTGAATAATTTTATAAATTTTTCGAGTGTCATTCAGCAGTTATTTGAATAGAATTTTAATTTCGAGTTTACTTTAATTTTGCTCTTCATTCAGAAAACCGCATACAACAAAGGAACTATTATCGAAGATTAAATCTAAATGTGGTGATATGGAAAAATCAGAGATCGTGCAGAAGTTGGCTGCGATTTTGAAGCGTATCGAGCCAAATCAGTTCAAGCAAAAACACGGCAAAAAAGAGGTGTTATTCTTCTCGTTAGCCAACAATCCTTAATCCTTAACTCCAAAACAAGCAAGTGGTAACAGCGTTCATAATTCCATCTCATTTATCGATTTGAATACCAATAATGTTAATATTATTGTCGTGCTGAAATGTTTTAATCGACTATTGATTGCTCATTTTAAGCAGGAATTTCGGTTTTATTCTTCAATGAGCGCTGAGCTTATTTCTTTGAGGACATATTGTATTCTGAATTTGTAATATGTAAAAACATTGTTTTTACGGTTTTCGCAATAAGCGTTTACTTTTTTGCAGCTGTTGTTAGATTTGTGGATGATTGCAATGAGCAGACGTAAAAATTAATAGGTATTTCTCGGTATCGATAATTTTCAGAAAGTGCGAAACGAATTAAGCCATTTCTTATTAATTTATTTCCATGCTGTTGAACTGTTCCACTGATATTACTATCATCATTTAGAGTATCAAAACATGATTTATTCCGATGCTGAAATTGGAATGAATCGAATGTAGGACAGTGAATATGTTGATATACTTTTAGACACTTATTGATGAAAGATATATTTCTTAAAGGTAATGGATCTGTGAAAATTTCACGTTAAATTTTCGATGCACCAGCAAGGGTGTATGTTACAATCTGTTCGTATATTGTATTACTGATGAATTTCCATGCAATGTGTTGGTGTTTTTCATAACTTGGATCATGCAACTTGATAATTTGGATAATGTTATCATGGAATTGTATATTTTGATTTCGCTTGCACTTATTTGATGAATAAATTTCGTGATCTTTCTTCAGCATTGAAGCTTTTTCAGTGGACGGCTAGAAAACAGGCTTACTTGGACTCGACTTTTGATCTGACGTTATATTATTGAGAAGTTTGATCTGGGCTTTATTTCGTATGTTTATATCTACAGGCAAACAATCACCCGATTAAATTTTCCTTATGAAATTAAATTCTCGATAATTTTTAATATTCGCCAAATTTTAATTGCTTTTCGATGCTCGTTCGTTGAATTTGTCAATTGTTGGTAATTTACTCAACGCAACCGAACATGTACAAAATCGTTTTTTTGTTGTTCGTGAATACGTTTTCAGTTTTATTGCATATCATTTGTTGTATTCGTTGTTTGTTTTTAACGTTATTGTTAATTTTGACATATTTCACTGCAATCATTTCAAGTAAACTGATGTTTCGTTCTCATGAACAAGCGAATAACGCAATCGATCCATCGAATGAGTTCAAAAAAAAAAAACAGGATGAAGTAAGATAACGTCAACAGAAGAATATGTGATGTATTAATAGTATCTTTGTAACTAAGAAACAATAAAATAGTTGCAAAGGATAGATTCGTAGAAATTGTATAAGAATGTGTGATTTATTGATGAGAAAAACAATGCGCTCTATTGCGCAAATGGGGTTTTTTATTAGCGGGCAAACGAGTGAAATTTGGACGATGAATGGATTGGATCTCAGTCGAGTTTAGCCATCGCAATCAATCTTTGCTGCTTACCACCATATTTTTGGATTTTTCCATCCGCTCGTTGAAATTTTTGATCTCTAAACATGATCCTCTGCAAGTGATTATATTCGAGCGGAATTGATAGACTCCATAATGAAGCAATCATCATACTTTCAAATCGTTTGGTTCTTTTGTTTCGTTTCGTCATTTTCGCTCAACTCGTTGCTTCTTCACTGAATTGACTATGTAAACTGAGACTGAAAATCGATGATCCTCTGCAACAAAAATATTAATTTTGATTGAAGCAACAAATATTACTCGATGCTATACCAAAAATTAGTTTTCATGCAATAAGATATGATTAAGTTATGACTGGTTTTGTCATTTATGTAATGTATTATTGATACAGAGATTCTCATTTTCGATAGTGACAATTATAACGAAAACAACTGAAAAGTGAAAAACGATGTGTTTTGGCTAATTTCAATTGATCTGACTCATCTTTCATTCGAGTTGATTGTTTCCTCCCTGGCCAGAATAATGCTCTCATCTCTCTTAATCGCAGTTATTGAGATTATTCATTATGATTGCTTTATATGAATTATCGTTATTTATTCTCATATTGTTTCCTGACACATCATGCGTCATAATTTGACAGATGAGGTAGTGTTTATAAATTTGATTCATATGGACTGTATCAGTGTACATGATCACACCTTGAAAGACGACGGCTTGAACAAAGTGACGATGTGACTGGAGAAGCAACAGGAGTGATAGCAGTTGGTCGCTGGATAGCAATTTCGGGAGTGACAATTATTTCGGGAACGAAACCAAGATGCGATGCTGCACGAGCGTATGGGTACAAACGTGTTTGGAGTGATTGATGTGCAGCCGTGTGCATGCTGCGATCTTGAGGTGTGCGAAGCGAGCACTCAGCTGGTGCTCGATTGGCACCCGTTTGTTGACAATCCGCATTCGTTGCTCGCATTGTTTCTAAAGTGAAAATGATGTTTTTTAATGACCACTCATTAGTTCATTCTACTGACCATTCATTGTCAACGGCACAAGTTTTCTTTTAAACTGTTTCATTTTAAACTGTCATCACCTAAAATTTGAATGCGTCAGTCAGCAAGCAGCTTCACATTCGTTACCATCAAAAATTGTCAATCTTCAAACCATTCATTCGTTAAATTGAAATATTTAATCGTATTTTCAGCTCTGAGACGCTGAATTCATTAAAATGAGTGATCAATTTCGCTAGACATTGCTGGCCAACGTCTAGCATTCACTTCATAACATCCTTCATAACTGATCGATTCTCTCGAAATTTTTAGCGTGTAAACGGATGTTGCAATGCAATGTCGAGAATGGCTGTGTAAGTGTATCGAATTCCAGGAAAGTCGGTCTAATATGAAAAAAGATATCTCGATAACTTTATGACGGATAGAATACGGTACCCAACACCTTTAAAGCGTGAAATGAAATGCTTAGGCAGAATGAGTGAAGATCAAGGCTTAGGAGCACGGGCAGACATACGAAACGGAACCTGATTCAGAGGTTGAGTGGGCTTTGCGAAATGTCAAATTCTTCACGCTTCTATGTTTGGCCTCTTGTAACCATTTTTGCGCTTTCTCTTTTGCTTCCTTCAGTTTTCGTTTCTGTCGAAAGTTATCTTCAATTTCAATTCGTACACGCATCGAATTGAGTAATATTGTCACCTGTAATATGGATATGATGCAGTCCGTAATGATCATAATGACAAATCGAAGCACTCACCTGGTCGTCGAGTGTTTCATTCGGCTTAATGGCTCTTATGAGGAGAAGACCAATGATAGAAGCAAACAGCGACAGAATAACAATCGTGTAGATATCAGCACCAGTCAAATATTCCGATGATGTTCTATGATTTCGCCATAATTGTGCATTTGCTGAGCGTACAATAGCACCAATACTTGTCATGCACTGCTCAGAAACATTCAGCATGCATATACAATAATCAGACTGTTGTTGTTGTTCTCCGTAGGAGCTGTTGGATTGGTGTGCAATCGCTTGAGTGAATGTAGATGCTGATGGTGATGGTGATGGAGAAGACGTTGCACTGGTCGAAGACGTTGTGCTGGATGACTGTGTTCGTGACTCTTCGGATGATGATGCTGCTGCTGTTACCAATGAACTTGTTGAATCACTACTATTTACCACATTACTCATTCTCATCAACGCATCCTGAAACTCTTCAAAATATTTTGTCAACTTCTTTTCAATTTTATTTGTTCATTCATCTATTCAGTTATTTGTCTCTTTACTTGCATTGTCTGCATCTTTTAATATTTTAGCGTGATAAGCCAGATAAATCCGTCGAATCTTCTTCAGTTCATTTGCCATTCCTGTTCTCGTTATTTTATCCAATGCGACAAAACAAGAGCTTGCAAAGTTCTGCACTTTCGTTAGGAAAAACGAATAACTTAAAATGTAGCCTTAGTTGATAGGTTAAGTTAAATTTGTGCTTTTCAATGTATCCATACATTTCTCTTTAGTAATGCCACAAAATAAACGTAATTTCTTCCGAACGTTTTTAATCGTTCACTTCGTTCACTGTATTTTGCTCATTCGCGTATGTTGCTAATGGTGACGACGACTCATTTTTTCTCGTTAAGGTTTCTTTTAGTTCAAAGCTTCGGTCTGAAGTCTTTTCAGTGCGCAACTATCGTGCTTCCACATTATTCACTACTTTCTCATATAAACCGGAAGCCATTCAAATGCCCTAATAATATCTCTTAATGGATACATTAGAGCGCGTTCAACAAAGGAAATGAATACAAAATTGTATTTCGAAGTACCATTTTGATCGACATCTTGCGTTGAAGATGATCACCCCTTTAGAACGATAAGATAAGATTTGCTTGAGCAGCTTTGGTTGGCACTCGATGGTAAATGATTTATCGATAAGGCATCAATGAATCAATCAGTTGGTTGAACTGACTTGATGACGCAATTCCTGAGGTGTATCATCTGCAGAAATGATCATCGAATAGAGGATTCGGTCAGACTGTAATGTGGATATACATACATTACGAATCATCCGTGGAGAAAATAAACTTCCGATTTATCCATAAAAACAGCTATCACGTGGAAATCAAAAGAACCAACTTCAATGTTTTCACGATCTTGTTTTGTTCTATTTGTCAGTTTTTGCTTCTGTTGGCGGGCAAGTTAATCTTATCTCGATTCCTTATGGTTCAGTCATTGTACTGAATTAATTAATGATCAAAATTCAGAACTTTTTCTTTTCGTTGTGCTATTTTTGCCATTTTTAAAAGGCAAGCCTTGCATTAAATAGACCTATATATAATTCAATTATCGATGCTCACTGAATTATTCGACTATTCCTGTTCGTGAATGTGTTGTGGCGCTTGAGCTGTTTTCTTTATGCAAGAATCGAAGTGTAAATTAAAAACGAGTGGATACTACAGCAATGAGGCCGATTGAAATCGTCTTTCGGAACAGATTTATGCAACAGCGGTATAATCAATTCGTTTCTCTTCTCTGCATGAGCACTTGCGGAAATGCTCACACTTACTGAAAAACCATAACTAAATATACTAGGTTATGTTGAGTCATCCTTTTAATTGCTTCATATGCTTATAAGTAAAATAAAAAGTATATGGAGCAATTAAAAGGATGAAATGAGTACGCCAAATAAATTACGATATGTCAAACGATAAATGTCTTACACAGCAACGATTAAGTTTAAGGTGAGAACATAATATGATATTAGAAGAAGCTGGGCGAGCCATAACAATACCCACTCATTTTAACGTATTGGCGATGAAATTTTCCAAGCAATGACAACGATCGGTCACGAATTATTCTTTAAAAACGAGCAATTCTCTGAAGAACGAGTCTAAAAGAGCGAACTTCTTAATCAACATATCGGATATTGTCAATAAATTGAACAGTATAATGTGCTATTAACATCACTAACGACTAATAACGCTTCACTGCGACTACTGTCACTTACACTAAACTACTAACACAATCCGGCGTCCATGTCCATCTCGATGCATATCGCGGTTGTAACTCGTAACTTTATAGTTTTCCTTGACGCTGCTCATATACACGTATATCTTTTCCATGGTTACATATGCCATTTAGACAAGCAACAAAATCACACAGTTGACAACGACATCGGAGAATGTAAAATAATATTTCGTTGCAAACTCATTCTGGACAGCATTATTTTGACAAAAAATAGAGCAATTCATGATTATCAGTAAACAGTAAAAGCGGGCTGATCATCCATTCACTGATAACAACACTTTTAAGGAAACAGAAGCGTGTTCGTTATTGATTTCATCATCTTAATCACTTAATCATCCCATAGTACTGTTCCTACTCGATGAACACATACACATTACGTTAAACAGTAACAATTTTCAACTGACTTTATTCTTGAAAGTTTGAGAAAAAACATTCATAAAGGCACAAATTCATTAATAATGGTGATGCTTTAGTTTAAGTCAGCAATAACTATATATCATGGCCATGTGTGGCACATTTTTGGTACCTTGATTGGAAAATTTTAATCAGTTATAATCAGCGAGATCAATCACTATTGTCGAAAAAGTTGAGCAGTTGAACGCATAGATAAAAAAATGAGAATGAAAATTTCAGACACGTTTGAACATTCATTAGTACTCCCCGGAGAATATTGATTTACGTATTGATCCTAGCAATAGTAAGGTTGACGATAATGATATAGTATAATGATAAAAATTATAATTATGATGCGAACAACCTCTGGGCGGGATGATGGTAGTGATAATGTTACTAATGATAATAATATCATCATTAACGCCGATAAAGGCGGAACACAAAAATAATGGATAATTATCATTCACATCACTATGAAATATTAGAGTATAACTGAAAAAAATTCAAGTTTATAATTTTTTTCGCGTGATATATCGCTATTAGAATATGTTACGTACTCAATAATACGATGCTGATGAAATACCATCTGAATCAACGCGGTGACTGTCTAGTGTTTGAAGGCTACTGTACTGCGAATTACTGATATCGCTGCTAATAATATAACTTCTTTCCTAATGCTGTTTTTATTAGTATTACAACTATTACTATCACATTAATTGTTAACATTTTTGGTATGAAAAGCGAATTTAGTGATTTCTTTATCGTTTAGTATCATTTTGATGAGTGATTCGTATTTGTCATTTGGAAAGTTGCGATTGAGATAGAATTCAGATTCCGCTGAACGAAAAGTGGATATGCTCGAATGGCCAAAATCAAACGTTCGTGGACTTATTCGAGTGAAGTAGCATCTTCACTGTAGCTTGTTGTGACAACGATTTGTGGAATGTAAGATGCAGATCTGAAAACGAAATTAATGGTCAACGATTCAGTAGAAAATAGCAAAATAATGCCGAGATGAGAAAAGATAATTGCTCCTCGAAACAACTGCACAATGCTGAACACAAAACAGAAATGTATCTAAAATCAGCAGTTAATAAATTACCTTCAAATACCACAGTTTGAAACAATCAAATGTGGACTACTATGCCAGCCTTTATGTATTCTAGTTGAATGCACTCCTGTCAACCATGCAGATATGCGTCGCTTCGTCTTCAGAAGTTTACGTTTCCGACAGTCTAGTTCCTCATGGAAACGCATAGCATCTACTAAGGTGTCCACCTGAAATGCCATTGACAAATGACAAAATCTACGTGATGTGGTGATTATGACAGATGACGTTTGAACGCAGATGATTTCAGGCATAATCCAATCAGTTATTTCAGTATCCACTTCATATAATTCCCTTTTTTTGAAATTATTGTTTTTTCAATGTCTGAATAATCATTTGATGCTTATTCCATAACGCTGCTTTCTATCTTTAATTTAGCAATAAACGAAACTTTAATAATGGCGTAAACTCGCTGTACGAAAAATTTTGTGAATCATTTGTTTTGGCTGTTCCACAAGGAAATCATTCGGAGTGAATGATTAGTCGATTCATAAAATACGCTAATCATTCCAGTCTATTTAATCTCATTTCGAGAAAAAAACATGATGTTTGGAGCAATCACTCACTTTGAGTTCGCTGTTTTCTCTGCACATTGTTCGCATCATAAGTAGTAAGATTATCGTCGAAAATATCAACAAAATGGTTATCGTGAAAAAAATTCGACTAAATTCCATATCTTCATTAAGATGTATTGAATTCGGCAATGATGATTGTAATCTGAACAAAAAAAAAAAACGTCCATATATGCTCTATATGCAGTTATTCAAACGAATAGAAAGAGAGAGTACATTAAAAACTGTGCAATTAATAGTGTGTTGTTGTGTAGCGATGTTCTGAAAGTAAGTTCTAATGAAATATGTTCCTGTTCATACTGTACGATCCATTTATGGTAAGGAATAACGCTTCACTCACTTGCTACAAGCACTTTCAAGAGCTTGTATACACTGGCATACTAATTCGTTGTTCATAACTTGTTGTCATTGTTCTTTACAGCGAGAAATTTTCAAGCCATAACCAACAATTGATAACTTTGACTTTCTTTGGGAAATTCAGTCGCACCTCAAATTACAAAAGCACACAATATTTTATGAAGTACTCAAATATGCACGCAAAGATGTTGATTTCATGTTTATGTACAATAGGGTGCTGCAAAAGCGCTAAAAAAGATTTTTACTTTTCGATCCTCGATTTCCTTTTCTCCTTACACCCTTCCGCCCCCGGCCCTCCATTGTCCCTACCTGCAACCCGACATTCGTTTCACCTTGCAAAAATGATTGGTATTTTTCTTCAACAAAAGCAATCCATGCAATATTTTCGTATCGTTAACAGACTAACTGATTTACTGATTGTGATTATTATCTGAATTGATATATTATATGACGCTATGATAGCCTTATTGAGCAAATTCCATCTTCAAAAAGTAATATGCCACAAGTGGTATTTCTTCAATGCATGCAAACTACCAATCCATAATTACACTTACGATTTGTATGCGTTGTTAAAAGAGCCGTTTCAAAGTTTGAGCGCTGGGCACAAACATCGCTCGCGATATTTTTGGCCGAAATTTTGCAAGGGATGTTTTCAAACAAACATGAAGCAACTTCTAATGATGCATCTAAGAACGGTGTGGTCGCTTATTTGTATCATCCTAACGCACACGTTACCTGAATGAAACGACTAATTAAATCCTAATCTGAAAAGAAGCTTAAAAACTTGCCTAAGTTAAACCAACGAAAGACGCTGCAGAATTTCTACTTACAAAATTTTTATTATGGCGATATTCAGGCTCTTTGCTCGACAAGATAAACACTTGTTGATAACGATGTGCACACATGAGTTTTTTGCGTTAAAGTTAATTTCACCGCTTCTTGATCGCCAAAAGTTCATGAGGTTGGTGATTTTGTGATTCATGGTCGTTTCGTGGATACTCGGTGAGCACATTATTTTCTAGATTGTATTTTAATCAATAACCAGTATTCAATACGACGTTCGTTTAATATGCAGGTATATGATGTACTTTCAATGTGACGCCAAATATCATTTTATTCTTTCTTTGAAAGACATTCGTTTTCACTAAGATGAAGTAATTGCAATATAGTGAGACAAAGTCAAAACTGCCATTTGAGACAGTTATGAGTGGGAGATTTTTTTTCAGGTTAATGTGAGACAGTTGCTCTTTCCACCTTAAGTGAAAGGATAAACGATTTCTCAGAATAATCCTCAACCAGTGAGACAATTCAACCTAAATCTGCATCAGTTCTATATTTATTAAAACTAAATATCTTCAGTACTGCGTACTTAATTTAAGATAACATCTACCGCTCAGCGTCGTCTTCTATGCAATCACATAGAAAGAAGATGGTGTTAGGAACATTTTTAGGGAAAAGATGGAATTTTATCTGTACGATTTCACTTAAAAATATTCAAAAAACACGAATGTGTTAGTGAATCCACTGATTAGCAAAAGCGTTTGGAAAAAATTTCGCTTCTGCAATTTCTTCTCTGTGTAAGTAACTGAAACTAACTGTAAGTGATGAGAA